AGAGAGAGAGAGAGAGAGAGAGAGAGAGAGAGAGAGACAGACAGACAGACAGACAGAGAAAGAGAGAGAGCCGCTGGGCGGGCCCGCGCCGTGGCGAGAGGCGGTGACGTGTGTGCCGTCCGCGTGCTTCTCTGGCGCCTTCGGAAGTCAACTCGCGCGCTGACCCGCGCCCACTTTCTCTCGCCTCGCGGGGCCTCGCGTACTTCCGTCGGCGCCGCGACGCGCGTTCGATGCGCGCGCGCCCACGACGAACACTGCGGCGTCCTCACCTACATCACCACGAAGCGGCGGCGCTTGCCTTCGATTATTGATTGAGTAATTTTGATTGATTGATTGATTGGTTAGCTTTCCGGGCGCGTCAACTGCTAAGGACATTCGTTCCGAAAGTGGAGAACATGTTTTCTCCTCGGAGGTGGCGGTGATCTTTCCCAGCTGGCTGATGAGATCCGACGCCGACCTAACGTCGGCTAGCGGGTTTATCTCCAACCACGTATTTCCCACCAGCAGAGCATCACCCCGGCGTGGCGAGTTCTAAGCTCCCGACCGGGCTCCTGGCGTGTGTGGTAGTGCATGTAAGAGTGTGTGTAAGGGGCGAGGAAAGGACTAGGAAGAGGAAGGAAAGATCGCGTGTGGTTCGTGGTAGTTGTCTGGTATCCGCCTGGTGTTGATCAAAGAAACCAAGAAAAAACTACCGATTAGAGCAGCCGACCGCTAGAATTCTCTTCCAAACAGCGGCTGTATTCGACCTAGCTATTTAGCCTGTGTCGAAAATCCTGCCTCCATCGGGACTCGAACCCATAATTCCTCCCAGTCAGAACACTGCAGGGAAATCAGTTAATACCCTGAGTCACCACACCATACCCAAGTCTGTCGCTCCCGAGTAATTACTGCAAATTTGACCCTTTGGAAATATAAGTTTCCAGCTAACTTTTCAGTCGTTTGGAATAAAATGATGTCAAAGTTTCATTAACACAGCCATCTCTTCACCTATAGTGTGGGCGCGAATGAATCGGCAACGCGAGATAGAGACGACGTCGGGACTAATGCTGAGCGAGAAAGAGGACGAAAGCGACGCGGCGAGTTCGCCACGTGAACCTCTCACACCTCTTTGGAATGTCGCTGAGGGAGCGGGAAGACGGCGACGGAAGATAAGGTGAGGGTGATCTGCGACTGCTGCACGTGAATTGTTGAAGTATCCGGACACAAATAGTTCAATCCGATAACTAATTGATGTTTTGGCAGAA